TGAACCCAGGCCTCAGCAGATGTTGCCAGCGGCCTCATCGTGGGGCCTGGGGTAGCTGGCACATTGCCACCAGGCCCCAGGTCAGCGGGAACTTCCCGGCCTCCACTTGGCACCTGTTCTGTGACCCTCTGAATGACCTCCTCTGGAGGTTTCTCTGCTGTGACTTCTTGTGCCATGTCCCTGGCTGGTTGGGGGCTGCGCATTTCACTTGCCTGTGGCGTCCCCTTGTCCCGGCACCATTCCTAGTGTCCATCCTTTCTCCTGAATCTCCTCTGCTCCTTGAGACCGGCTGGGGCTGCCTCCTGGTCTCCCTGGTTCTCTGTTCTGCTCATGATCCGCCGCCGTCACCATGGAGTCTGCAGCCATCCAGAGCCCAGTTCTCTGGCTCTGTACGTCCCCAGTACTGACTCGGCTCTTTGGGTCTTGGGTTCTCTCCTAGAGACTTTAGAATCCACCTGTCTATGGTCCCAGAAGAGCTGGCCGAGGTGTGGGTGGGACTGAGCTGAGCCCACAGGCCGAGCGGGCAGAACTGATACATGCCCAGTATTGGGTTCCTATGAATCACACGGATCCCTGCTTCTTTAGATCTCCTTTGATTTATTTTCTGAGCTATGCAGTTTTCTCCTGTAGGTCTTGTACATATGTCATTTCATTAGATTTATACTGTGGTGTCTCATTTTGGGTACTAAGGAAAACAGGAAAGTGTTTTTAATCTCACACTCCAGTGGCTCATTGCTGGGCCATTTTTGTTTAATCTATTTGTGGCTCTGTGTTTAGGCAGGATATGGTTGGGTCCTGCTTTTCTTCTTAAAACCCAATTTGGTTCTTTCTTTCTTTTCTGGGGGGAGATTCTAGGGATTGAACCTGGGGATGCTTTGCCACTGAGCCACATCCCCAGCCCTATTTTATTTCTTATTTTCAGACAGGGTTTTGCTAAATTGCTCAGAGCCTGGCTGAGTTGCTGAGGCTGGGTATGAACTTGTGATCCTCCTGCCTCAGCCTCCCCAATTGCTGGAATTACAGACCTGTGCCCCCTGCCCTGCCGTTTCCTTTAATTGGGGATTTTAGACGGTGGGGCCGTTTAGGCCTTTATTAGAGCTGAATTCAAGCAGAACACCTTGCTGTGGCCTTCCGCTGGCCTCAGTGGTCCTTGGGCTGTTTCTCTTCTGCCTTTGTCTCTTTCTGGGCAATATTGTAAGTACTTTTTCATGCCATCTTCTTCCTCTGCTGGTTCCTTTGCTGTGACTTTTTGCTGTGTTATGTCACTGGCTGGTTGGCTCAGGGCCACAGTGTGCCTGTTCTGCTGACCGCCGTCCATCCTCCTGGTACCTGCCTCTCGCAGGCCTGGGCCTCTGTGGTGACTGCATGCCCCTCCCTGTGCCCAGGCCTCTGGACCACGGCGATCAGTTCTGTTTGGACAGTTGGTATCTCTTAAAGAGCTCTGACGCCGTACTGTCCACTGCTGGAGCTGGGGGCTCTGCGCAGCTGTGGATTTCCGTGTGGTGTCCGCTGGCCCTGCAGGGGCAGGCCCACTGGCGCGAATCCTCCAGCTGGAAGCGTCTGGTTCTGCCCTCACCGTGGGGGGATTTCTGCGGGATTCAGGAGTTGGGCCAAAGGATTCTTTCTCGGAACTTCACGCGGCCGCCCCCCAAGTCCCAGATGGCCCCTCTGCTGCGCTTCCTGCTGTCCATCTTCAGGGTCCTCTCTCTGTGCGCGAGGCGACAGTCTTCCGCGGAGGCGTTGGAGGCGAGGGCTGGTCTTGGGCACTCCGATGGTGGTGTGCTGTGCTGTGGTTTACTCCTGTTTGTGGGCGTTTCTGGATCTGTGGGTCACGTACTTTATGAGACTTGGTGGTTTTGGCCGCAGCCCTCCCGTAATTCTGGCACCACCCTCCCCTGGGAATCGTGATTTCATGCATGTTGGCCAGCTTGGCGCTGTCCCCCTGGCTCACAGATGCCCCATTCACCTTGGTCATGTGGCTCTTTCCCTGTGCTCCGTTGCGTAGTCGGTCACGATCTGCCCCTGGTTGAACCTGGTGGCACTGTGTCTCGGGCGAGGTGGTTTGGACCCCTGGGTGTGTCCTGGGTCTTCCCCTTTGCTCCTGTCTCTTTCAGCCCACGCGTCTCCCCTTCGCCTTCCTGGACACGTGGGCTAGGGCACGCGTCAGCCAACCTGTCCACGCGCCTCTCGTGCTGCCGTCTGTGAACGTGCCTCCACGGGCTGATTGTCCTGTCCATGGAGATCACATCTCCTGCTTCACCGCCGCCCGCCGTTCCTGGTGGGACCTTGACACTGTGCGTCCCCTTGGGTGGGGCTGGCTCCCCCCTGAGCTTCGTTCTGGGTGTGGTCATATTTGGCCCTTGGTCTTGCTCTGAGCCTTGGCAGGAGGGAGGACCTTCCCGGGCCTCTACTCCACACCTCAGATCTCAGGAGGTATTTCCACCCTGGCTGCCAGGACCCCATTCCCCGGCCCTTGTGAGCTCCGAGGGCTGCTCCCTGGTCCCCTCGGGGAGGTGGCCTCCTTTTTGGGGAGTCCTCTCCTCTTGGGGGGTGGTCTCCTCCTGGGGGTGGTCTCTGGCACTCTCCTGCATTCTCTTCTCTGGAACTTTCCCCCTTGGACTCCGCTCACTGCCAGGGCCATTGCATCTGGGTGGCATGGTCATCTGCACCTGGGGGCACCACTCTGAGGCCTCAGCTGGTGCTGGGCTGTGTCGTGTGGCCTTTTCCACACATGAACCTTTCCAGGTTTCGGGTGCTGTTCCAGGATGGAGGCTATCTGACCCCCGCCTCGCCCTCTGCTCCAAGGCCCGATTGTCTGAAGTAGGTTTCTCTGTTTCCGTGGCCTTCGGAGGTTTTGAACTCCCAAGAGCAGGGGGTCGGGCTGGGTCCAGTCCCTGGGTCTGGTTGAGGTTTTGGGTGAAAGTCTGCATGGAGGTGAGTTTGTAGGTTGGATGGGCGGAAACTGGCCCTGTCCAGCAGACACATGTTTCTGGGGCTGGACAGAGCTCACCCACCCTTCCCTTGGTTGCAGCTGGCCAGGGATGGGCTCAGGGGGACATTGCCTACCCAGGCCTGGCCTCTTGTGAGTGCTCTGCAGGACTCTCGGGACCTAGGCCAGGTGCACCTGTGGGTCACGTCCTGCCCCTCGGGAGCAGAGAGGAATCAGCCTAAACCCCGGCCCCCGGACAGGATCCAGATGCCGACCCAGCGACGGCACGGCTGGGCCGGCCCCGAGCCCCGGAGGGTCGTGTCTTCTCACCTGCGTCTCAGCAGAGGGGCCCCAGGCTCCGGGGCCAGGTGTGGCCAGGGCTCAGAGCTCAACCTGCCCGCCAGTCGCGGCCACGACAGTTGAGGGACAGGCCTGGGAGTCACGGAGACGTCACCCAGGCCGCAGCAGCCCGCACGAGTCTGCTTCCAGGGAAAGCCAACTGGACTTGCTGGCGGGTCAGTGAAGGAAGCCCAGCCGGGGACCCTGAGGTGTGGTGGAGGCGAGGGAGCCCAGGAGGGAGCTGGACACAGAGCTGAGCTCAGGAAAGGGGGCCGGCTAGCCTCTGGGTGTCGGTGCCCACACGCAGCTCAAAGTGACGGGGACAGGCCAGTCTCCTGGGCCGGAGCGTGCCCTGAGACCCGGGGAGCCAAGGGCTCGGCAACAAGCCTCCACAGGGCACACCCCAGGAAGCCGGGGCCTCACCCCAGGTAAGCGCCTGTGGGTTAAAACTGACCTGCAGAGTGGAGGAGGGTCAAAGGGGAACCTGGGCATCGGGTTCACCTGGCTCTGTGACTGGGAGGCCACTGAGCCTCCCGGGCCTCCAGCTCCTCGTCTGCAAGGTGCGTGGATGGCACAGCTGCAGGAAGCTCAAGCGGGGGTCTGGGGGTGCGCTCAGCGCTCAGGGCGCCTGGGAGTGTGGGGCAGTGTGGATGTTCCACTGCACCTGCCCCAGGGGAGGCCCTTTCTCCCCCTCGGGTGCAGGGAGGGAGCCCCATCCTTAGGGGAAGCTGTTTCCCGTCTGAGGCTAAACCCAGAAAGACTGACGGCCGGGAGACGCCTGGCTGCGGGTAGCAACGGTCGCAGGAACAGGTGGCAGCACACAGCAAGGTGTTGCGGGGGCAGAGGCGGAGCCCGGCCCTGGGAGAACCCGGCAGTCATGACCCTGGCCATCCCTGACCTTGGCACGGCCCTTGCAGGCGGCGGAGGGCAGATCTGCCCTGGGCTGGGTAGGTGGTGTGCGCCCAGCAGTGAGGGCCGTGCGTGCCTCCTGGAGACCGGGGCCCCATGCAGGCGTCCCGGAAACAAGCACCAGGACTGTCTTCCCATGTCACGGCCCAGGACGGCTGGGATGGGTGCCCAGGAGACAGAGTGTGGCGGGAGGCACTGCGCTGATCCTCTGGGCACAGAGAAGGTGGTTAACAGAGCGCCGTTGGGTCAGGAGCCAGGCATCTCAGGAGGACACCAGAAAACTGGGGGTGGGCAGAGGGGTCTCTCGGCAGCCCTGTTCCGACTGGTTCATGTGAACGTGGGACTCAGGCAAAACAACACAGTTAATTTCAAACTCGTGAAAAGAAAACTGAAAAGCCATCTCAAGGCCTGCAGGAATTCTCCTGGTAAAACTCATCGTGGGGGGTGGCCTTGGTTTAAATGAGTGCTCAAGCTAACTAGAGCCTGGGCACCTCCCTAAGCCGCCCCCAGCACGTGGTGCCAAGCTTCCCGCAAACACTGCGCTGACGGGGAAGTACTCAGGCACCCCAGCCAAGAGCAGGACGGGAACTGGCCGCCACCTTCCCTCAGCGGGCAGATTCCTCTCCAGCCCAGAGGGACAGACATCTCATCAAGGCAGAAAACCTGTAGAAGGTGAAGGAAGAAAGAATTCTCAGCCGACGTGCCTCTCTCCTCACCTAGAAAGCCCAAGAGAAGCAGCGGAGAGATGCACAAGGATCCGCCAGGACCCTGGATACCAGACCAACAGAGCAGAAGGCAGAATGAATGCATGCCACATACAGGACAGCGGGAAACACGTTTAATTACTTGTCCAGTCAACCAGTGTATGATACTGGGCATCGAACCCACGGACATCCTGCTGCTGAGCCACCTCCCAGCCCTTTTTGTCTGGTTTTATTTTGAGACAGGACCTTTGCTGAGGCTGGCCTTGGACTTGGGATCCTCCTTCCTCAGCCTCCTGAGTAGCTGGGATCGCAGGCTGCGCCACCCTGCCTGCTCAGAAAACAGACTTTAAAAGTTAACTCTAGTAACGAGAAAGGGGTGCTTAGGGATAGACCTAGGGTACTGACCTAGGGCACTGGTGGGAAGAGGGGTCCTGAAGGGGCTATGGCAGTACCTTTGTCCCCCTAACCCACAGCTGGAGTGGCCAAAGAGTTGTGGCTGGGGGTTCCCTTAGGGGGACACAGCCTTCCGAGATGGGGTCAGTTGGGTCCTGAGAGAAACACCGGAGGCTGGGGAGAGCTTTTACAAGGGGGCTCGGGCACAGGGCGGGACGGCAGGACCCAGGGCGCTCAGCCCAGGGGTCTGCAGTGAGGAGGAGTCGTGTCAGGGTGTCTCGGGGCTGGGTGAAGTTCCCTCCAGCGTTTGCGGAACAGCCCGGACACCCTCGCCCTGCCAGCTGGGCGTGGTGCTGCATGGAAGTAACACACGGTGGCCCACGCTGGCCTCGGCTCCCCAGCACACAGCCTGCACCCCGTCTTCCTTCGTCTTTCCAGCGTTTCCAGAGCTCCCCTGGGATCCATCTTGGCTTGGAATCCCTCGTTTTGTCCTTGGCCTGGGGTGGCATGTGCCTATGAAGGCCGAGTTCCATCCCCAGCCCTGGGGGAAAAAAATGTATTTTTAAATAATTTGCTTCTCTGAAGCCTGGGGTGGTGGCTATCCCAGTCTTTTATATGACCTCACAAGTAGATGACCGGCTCGCTGAGTCCAGCCTCTGCCCTCGGCAACTCAGAGCCCCGGCTCTCCTGCCAGGTGCTGACCAGGTTCCCCACGCTCTGAGGGGCGTGTTCCCTGTTTTCATGATTGCTTAGTCTTGAGTCCTACCGGGTGTCCAGGGCGAGTTCTTCTCTGGCCTCCATCTATTTTGGAATGTCCTTCCAAGTTTAAAAATGCATCTCAGGTCATGTTCTTCTTGCGCTGGATTCCAGCCTGTTTGCAATCTGATCAGAGCCTGGGTCAACGTGCTACAAAGGGATTGGCGTGCACAAGGCTTGCTCTGTGGACCCAGAGCCCACGAACGCGGGCCTGAGATGCGGCTCTGGAGCTGAAGGGCCCAGGGCCACCTCCTGTCAGTCAGGCCTGTTAATGGTGCTCAGTCACCTGGATCAATGTGGGTTCCAGCAGCAGCAAGTGGCCTTCATCAGGCCAAATTCTCTGCAGAGAGCAATGATGAAATGGGGAGAAAACATCTTTTCAGACTATTTAAAGGAACCGGGGAGCGATGGAACTTAGGAAGAAACTGCAGAGTCACTGCCAGGGAGCGCGGGCTTGTCCCCAGGACATAAGTTCACCTGGGGCAGGGAGCTCAGCAGAGGGCCAGATCCGGCCGGATTCGGCCTCCGAGGAGCAGTGTGGGGTGAGGGGGGAAATCCCAGAGAGGACCCCAGACCTGCCAGAAATTGTGCCATAGCCTCTACTACTAACCCAGGCCCCCACGGGGGAGGTCCCAGGGACCCTAACCCAGGCCACCTCCCCACCCCCCAGGTCCCAGGGACCCTAACCCAGGCCCCCACGGGGGAGGTCCCAGGGACCCTAACCCAGGCCACCTCCCCACCCCCCAGGTCCCAGGGACCCTAACCCGGGACCCTAACCCAGGCCCCCACGGGGGGCGGGGGGGAGGGAGGTCCCAGGGACCCTGGTTGGAAGCTGGAGGATGCAGTGGGTTTCCAGCCAGGCCCCAGAGAGCGTGGAGCCCGCTGTCGGAATTACAGGAAGCAGGAAGGCAGACAGACACTCAGCTTCCTGCCCCCATGGGGCTGCCCCAGGTATCCATTTAACCGTGGAAGACAGTGTATTATGATTTAAAGCTCACACAGGAAAACTCCGGCCCAGGTGGCTCCGCAGAGGCCTCGCAGACCTCCTTGTCCTGCGGGTGAGGAGGAAGCTCAGGGCCTGACTCTCCCTTGAAACCGGCACTGACCTAGCACCCAAACCAGGCCAGGAGGCACCCACAAGTCTCGAGACTGAGTTTCCGGTCACAGGGATGGGGCTGGGAACCCAGCGAAATTAGACATCCGTCTTCAAAGGAAAAGCCACCAAACGTTGGCATAAAAAGAAATCACAGGGAGGTTAGAAAACATTTAACCCAAGGAAAATGGGAATACAGCAGGTCAGAACTGGCGGGAGCAGTTAATGGTGCGCTTGGAAGGAAAGGTGTGGCTTTGTGTGCTGATCAAGACAAAGACCTAAGATCAGCTCCCTCTGCTTCACCTGATCAAGCTAAACAGAAAAGGAGAAAACTAGCCTAACTACAGGATAAAAAGGGACCAACACTCAGAGTAGGAATTTTGTGTGGTGCTGGGAGCCATGTACACTAGGCAAAGACTCAATCACTGAGCTACAGCCCCAGCCAAGAAACTGCCAAAACCCAAAGCAGAAAGATGATGAAGGATGATTAACAAATTGTTAAAGGCCTAGCAAAGCACAGAGAGAACGAGGAGGGTGCAGAATAGGGGGCTCCCAGGTCTCTGGAAGGCCCCACACCCCAGTCCTGCACCTTGGAAGCAGTTAGACACATTCCATTCTGGTACATCAGCTCTTTTAGCTAAGATGCTTGAAAAACAGCAGGTGCAGAGAGATTACTGTGACCTTCCTGTCATTTATTAAAAGCAGGAGATGAAATTCTCCTGTGAAAGATGCAACATCCTTATCTTCAAAGACCGCAGGGCTCCATTTGGGTCTTATCTGGGACACTTCCCATGGAATCCAGTGCTTTTCCCCCATGGGCTCCTCTGTTCAGTTCAGCACAAGGGCTCGCCTCCTCCCACCCCCTGGGTCTTCATGTCCTTAGGAACATTCCAGCCCCTTAAAACTTGCCTGAAATAAGTCTGCATGCCTTTCTCCTGTGAATCCCTGGCGTCTAACTCTGGGCCCAGCCAGGACCCCAGGAGGACGGAGGTGAAGACTGTGTCCTGTGCTCTCTGTGGAGCCAGGAGCCTGGGAAGGGAGGTGCTGACCCTGGGCAGAGACAGACGCCCAGAGTGATAAAGAGGTGGGGTGCAGCACTGAGCAGGTCTGACAGCAGCTCCTTGTGAAACGGGATCTTTCCCAAGCTCCAAGAAGCAAACCCACTGCACCAGCACACCCTCTGAGGTGTCCCCTGTCACCCAGGGACTAGGACAGAGAATCCAGTGCTTGCAGGAGGTTAGGCTGCCTTAGCTGAGCAGCAGGTCGACCGGGTTGGTCTGCAACTGAAAGAGTCAGAGCTGTCGAGACGTCAGTCATCTCCAAGTTCCCCTAGAAGTCAGCACAGCCCCCGTCAGAATACCACCAGGGTTCCAAAGCGTGCACAGAACCACAAAGAAGCCAGGTGAGCCCAACAAGGGTTTTCAAAAGGGAATGAAGTGGGAGGCGCCGCCCTACCGGGCTTTCAGGGGAATCCACTTACTGTGAGGCTGCGGTGGTGGGTCGGTGGCTCGGGAAGGACCGACTGGCAGACCAAGCGCAAGCCAGAAACAGGCCACGCGGAGGGCTGGATGGCTTTTGACAAGGGCAGAGGTAAGTTAATGGAGGAAGGACGGCCTCTTCAACCAAGGGCAAGGACTCACCAGACGTCCTCTGCAAAAGGAGCCATGAGAACCTTCAAGCCGCCCCACACTTAGAGAAAAGTTAGGGTCAGTGGCGATCACAGGCCCAGGGGTAAAGTGGGCAGGAGAAGGCTTGCAGAAGCGAGACTCGTCCAGGAAAGGGTTGGTGGGCCAGGCTTCATCAACGGGAAACGTGGCTCTTCCAAAGACCCCGTCAAGACAAGCCTCTGTCCTGGAGAAAGGATCTGCCACTTCCACGTCAGAGACCCGTGAGCTCTCAGAATTCAACAAAAGGCAAACCACCAATGAAACAATGGGCAGAGACTTCCCTGGACACCCGGGAGGGCAGACGGGCCCAGGAGGCTCAACCTGCCAGCCTCAGAAGTCCAGGTTAAACCCACAGCCAGTTGCCCCCGCACACCTGCCAGACGGGCTGCGCCAAGCAGTTTGGGAACAGGCCAGGTAAGTGCTGGGGGGGGGCAGCCGGAGGCCCCCGCTGCTGGTGGGAGCCCACCAGGCGCAGCACCTGGACGTCAGTCTGGCAGCCCTTGGTGCCTTTTCTGGGGTGTTGGCATCCCACCGGCCCCGCGGCTCACACAGACGGCAGCACCCGAGCGTCGAGGCAGCCTGGCCCCTCCTCGTCAAGTCTGGAACCACCCCGGGCCCTCAGTGAATGTTGGGGACACCCCCAGATCCAGCCCCACTGGGGAGGCCGCCCCACGATGGACAGCCAGGCCCTTTGGACCCCGCGGGCCCCCGACTTGGAGCTTCCAGCACAGAGAGCTGACAGCGGGTGCCATGTGCTGTGATTCCATTCACGTGACATTCTGGAAGTGACAAAAACTATGGGGACCAAAGCCAGGCAGGTGGCTGCAGGGCTGAGTGGGAGGACCGGTCCTAGCCAGGAAGCTTGAGGGACAGTTTGTGGAGTCCCTCTTCCTCCTGATTCTGATGCAGGTCACACTAGTCACACAGTCACCCAAAAAGCCAGATGCACTGTGTGAGGGAGAGGCTGCTCCAGTGCTCCAGCTTCTCACCACGCCCCCTCCTCTTTGGGAACTGGGGTCCGGGGCAGCGGCAGACCCCCCTCTCCCATCTGAGGGATTATCAGCAAGCATTTCATTTTAACTTTTTTTTAAAACCCTACAAATTAGTCATTCGTCGTTTCTGAGCAAACGTTGGTCTAGGTGCTCCAACAGGCCCCTTGCCCTTGCTCTGCCTGGTGGTCTCTGCCCCTGGAGGGTCCGTCCCTGCCGCTTTGGTGAGCTGTGGGGTGAACTCTTGGTGTGCAGGCGACGCCTCATTTCCACCCAGTCCTGAGGAGCCGCGGCGGTGTGCTGAGTCAGCAGGGGCCTCTTCCAAGCCCAGCGGCTCCTGGGGCTGGGCCGGGGCGAGCGCCTGCCGGGTGCCCGGGCCCTGCTCGGGAGTCTGCGCTGGCACCGGACGTTGCCGGGTGGTTTTCCAGGCTGCTCTCCTTACTGCTGCTCTGTGAGAGCAGGCCATCGGCCTCCTGGGGCCTGCGAGGGCGCCTCCTGTCCAGTTTCCCTGCGGGGCCGCGTGCGTGGCGCACTCCTGCTCTGCTCATCACCTGGTAGGCCCCGGAAGTGGCCGGGAGGGCAGAGCTGTGTGTGTGTGTGTGAGGGTGTGTGCGCACGTGCATGTGTGGGGGGTGTTTGGGTGGAGTATGTGCGTGGGTGCAGGTGTGTGTGTGTGTGCGTGTGTGCGTGTGTGTGCACGCTCGTGTGTGTGTGTGTGTGCGTGTGCGAGTGTGTGTGGGTGTTTGGGTGGAGTATGTGCGTGGATGCGGGCGTGTGTATGTGTGTGTGTGTGTGTGTGTGCGTGCGAGTGTGTGGGGGGTGTTTGGGTGGAGTATGTGCGTGGGTGCAGGTGTGTGTGTGTGCGTGTGTGTGCACGCTCGTGTGTGTGTGTGTGTGTGTGTGTGTGTGTATGTGTGTGTGTGTGTGTGGTGATGTGCATTTTGGGAGCTGCTCTGGGATCCAGGGTTGGTGGCAGGATCTTTCCACACTTCCTGCCCAATGCCAGGGACTTCCCAGCGCCAGGCAGTTTGCCCACATCAGTGCAGCAGCGCCAGGCTTGGATCTCTCGCTGGTGCCTCTGCGTGGTCCCCTGGAGCCCTGACCGCTTGCCCCTCTGCCATGGTAAGCTGGCATGGCTTCTTGGAAACTTCACTGAGGTAGAATCCACGTGCCACGTGGTACGTGGGCCCATGGATCTTGGTGTGTTGAGAGTTGCCAGACGTGGCCATAGGCCATTCCAGAACACCCCAAAGAGGCCCTGGACCACCTGGCGTCACCCACCAGCAGCCTGCTCACCCACAGCCACTAATCGACCTTTTGTGGCCATCATTGGGGCCTGCCCGGGGCATCTCACAGAAGCCGAGTCGTCAGAGATCGAGGTCTTTCGGGGCTGGCTTCTCTCTGAGCAGAGTTCCCAAGGCCTGAGGGCTCAGGAGTGGGTCAGGGCTTTGTCCCTCTGTGGCCAATAGCATTCCACAGAGCAGGAGACCTGCATCCTCGGTGGACACCTGGAAGATGGCACTTCCATCTGCCGTGAGTGACGCTGCTGGGGGCATGGTGTGGATGTGTCTGAGTGGACATGCTCTCCGTTTCTCCTGGGCACAGGCCTGGGAGTGGAATGGTGGCCGTGTGGCACCTCTGTGCTCGGCCTTGGGGGAAATGAAGACCATCTCCACAGCAGCTGCCCCACTTTCCATCCCTGCCAGCAGCAGGTGACGGCTCCATTTGCTGGGCATCAGTGCTTGGTGTCTGTCACCTGTTTGATTATGGCCACCGTAGGGGTTGAAGTGACATCTCATTATGGCTGCGTGGCATTTCCCTGGTGGCTGGTGACGTGGAGTAGCTTCTGTGCCGTGGGGCGTGCAATGTCTTCTCTGAGGGGCGGTCAGGAGCGTGCTTTGGTCTTCACCCGACACACACAAGGTGGAGCCTGTGTCCCGGTGGTCACTGGTGGGG